ATAAAAACACAACATTGCAAGTATATAATCCTTGTCTCAACTTCTCTCTTGAAATCCAAACTCCCTTATCCAATTAATTACTTAATATCTTTATTAGCATGTATAACAAGTAGCTCAAGGACTTTTGAAATTTCTCTCTTTGAAATGTACTCCTATCCCACTCTTCACCCTCTCAACTAATGGCACCTTCCAGTTGTTTAGTAACAAAACGTTGGAATTATCCTTAATTCCTCTCTTTCTCTCACACCTTACATCCAATATATCAGCAAATCTTGTGGACTCTTCTTTCAAAACAGGACTCAAATGTGACCCCATCTCACCACTTCTACTGCTAGCACCCTAATCTACCATCATCTTTCATCTGAATTACTGCAAGTCTTCTAGCTTTCATTTTGCCCCAGTTAAGTCTACACATAATATCCAGAGTGACTCTTGGGATGCTATTAAAACAGAAATTGGATTATCTCATTCTCCACCTTAAAATCCTACAACTGTGTCCTATCACACTTAAAATAAAACTTGTGGCCTAAAAGACTCTAAAAGGCCCTGCGAGAGATGACTCTTGCCTACTTGATGTTCATGACCTGCATCCTTGCTGTCTTGACCACATCAAAGATAAAAGAGTCTCTTGTTTTAATTTGTACTTTTAAACTTTGTAAGATTGAGCATCACTTTATGCTCATTTACCATTTATATTTTGCATCTTATCCCATTTTTCCTAATAGAAATAGGTTGTGTTTTTTGTTTTCTTTTTTGGTGTTTTGTCATTTTCTTTTTGATTTTTAAGACATCTTTGTATTTTAAGGAAATTATCTTTTATATAGACTGTGAATGTTTTCCTCAGTTTGTCTTTTTGACTTTTTGATATGTATATATATCTCCATACAGTGATTTTAATTTTCACACAGTCAAATTTGCCAATCTTTCCTCTATGGTTTCTATGCTTTGTTTCACGTTCAGAAAGGCCTTCTCCGGTTTAAGATTATAACAAAATCTAAGATTTCTTCTGGTATTGTATGGTTTCATTTTGCATTTAAACCTTTATTCTATCTGGAATTAATTTTGGTATAAGAAGATAGAGATACAGTTTTATTTTTTCCCTCAAAAAACAGATGTCCCAAATGACATTTATTGAGTAATCCACATTTCCCCCACTGATGTGAAATGTCATTTTTATCACATGCCAAATTCCCACTTGTATTTGGATCTATTTCTCACTCTCTTGTCTGTTTCTTATCTGTCTGTCTATTCCTGCATTATTACCACATAGCTTATTGTACTTTTATAATATATTTAAAAATCTGCTACAGTTAGTCCATCTTCATTATTTTTACTTTCCAGAGCTTTCCTGGCTATTCTTGGTTTTTGTTTTTTTACAGCTTTATTGAGATATAATTCACATAGCATACAATTCACCCTTTAAAGGGTACAATCAAATAGATTTAGGATATTTACAGACATGTGCAACCATCATGACAGTCAATTTTAGAACATTTTTATAACCTCAAAAATAACCTTGTACCCTTTAGCAATAATTCTCTTTCCCACTGGCTCCCCCAACCCTAAGCAACCACTAGTCTACTTTCTCTATCTATAGATTTGCCTATTCTTGACATTTCATAATA